AAAATACATTTTTCTTAATTAAGTTTTTACTGCTTTTGTAAGCAAATCAGTTTGACATATTTTAAAAACGTACTTCAAAGAAAGGAAAATATAAGATTTCTTGTTTCACCAAATGGATATTAACATACAAATTAACATAAAAAAATCAACTCTAAAAATAGGCCATTATACAGATACAGATGAACAAAAATATTTTTAGAGCAAAATTATAAAAAAAATAAAATAAAAAAAGAACAAGGCTATTTTAATTGAACGCGCTGCTTGTTTCGGCTTTTGTGTTTCAGATGCTGCAACTTCCTTCACTGCAGACGACAGCAGGTGTGGAGACACATGCTGCCGGTGATCAGCTGATCCATATGAGCTTTACTGGATTTTTTTTTTTTTACCTCTTTCAATCGGCCGGTCAAACCTGCCTCCTCCTCAACAAGTAGATTAACAGAATTTTATATTGTGTATTCTTATTTAGTTTTCTTTGTGCTGATGATTCGTAAAACTGCATCAAAGCCCAAGACCGGCCTGCACATTAATTGGCCCGGCCCAAATTAGGGTTATGCTGGGCCGGGCTTCAGGCTCAGGTTAGGATTGACAGCTTTACTTCAAGCCAGCAACTTGTCAGATGCTTAACTGCTGCACATTTACGTAGCTGACTTACATTTTCTACACACTGCAACTATGGTGAAATTACTGCAGTTCAAGGATTAATGTGATAATAAGCCAGTGCTGCCTACAGTATTCCAGTCACTGTATTTTTCTGTGAACCACTTCCTCAGTGCTTGCTTCATGCATGAAAAACAGCAACTCTAGGCGGCACGAAGTTGCAGCCAGTTCAAACCGTAGCTGACAAGTAGCCACTGTGGATACTCAAATCTGTTAACCTGGGAACTGAAATTAAATCCTCATGTTCCAAAAGCTACACTCCCATTTTGTGCTTTACCAGTCACAAAATGACTTTAAACAGTCCAACCAGGTGCCTACTGAAAAGCAACAGCAGCAGGACAGAATGAATCCTTACCAGAAGGTGGGGCTCCACCATGCGCTGCTTGACAATGAAATGTACGAGCTTCTCATTAGCACGGTTATGGGCTGCGTGTGTCCGGTCAGGCAGCAGCCTCTTCGTGCTCGTGCAAATGTCTTCTTCTTTCTCAATGATGCGATACTCGTGATCATCACAAAGGTCCTCAATTGTGGTATCACTGGCAATAGATAGTCTCTCTGAAGCCGCTTGTGGATACGTCCTCCGAACTGGGTAGCCTAGAGCAGTTAAAGAGCAGCGGCATTACTGTCACGAACACAGAGCTACAGGTGGATTAAGGTTTTATTGTGAAAGGAGTCTTGTATTTTGTGACGTCATGGTAATGAAGATACTCACTCATGTCATGATTGAAATACTCAATGAAGGAGCCAGAAAATGAGCCACATGCTTAAAACATAAAAACATCACTATGATTACCACCATTAATAAAACAAACGTTTTTTTGTTTATTAAAATTGCATGTGACAACATGGGCTTTAGGTTGTTCCAAGTATGAAAAGAAGATTACTAACCAATCCGGATTCTGTAGTCCTCTATAAGTTCCAAGGACCACATGACGGCAGCATTGTACATTTCTTTGGCTGTATGCTGTAATTAAAAACATACGTTGAAACAGTTGTCGTCAAGAAAACACAGGATTAGATTTACAATCTGTAGTTTATGAGCAGTTCCTACCACCAGTTCATCTGCTTCTTCACAGTCAAAAGGCTTCATGGATTTCAAAGCCAGAGCAAACCTTCAAGAACATAAACTGCAGAGTCAAACTCACTGAGATTTGATATTTTATGTTTAACGATGCACTTTAAAACAGAGCATCAACTCAAAAGTTGTGGAAGCCCGTGTTTGTACCCTTTTCTCTGAATGCCTGTGAAGTCCTGATCAACAAACACGATGCTGGCTTTTTTCTGTTTACGGTTCACACTTTTCACCTGCACAGGAAATAGAGATTCTTTGAGTCTTTTTTTTCAATATATTTTGACTATTTTACATTTGATTCAACAAAAATGACAAACATTTGTAAACCTTTAGATTGCCACTCACCCATGCAGGCCAGTATGGATAATTTCTGAATTTGCACCACACAAACACTCCCTTTGTGATCGATGAAGGCTCTGAACAATTAAATAGTCATTAAAACTACGAAAGAACAAATCCATCTAGCATGTTGCCGTTCTAGTTGCTCTCACTTTTATCCGTCTGCATCAAAAAACTTGGAAGTTCTTCCTCCTCATCATCACTCTTCTCATCTTCCTGAATGGTCAAACGAGGCAGCTGCTCTTCATAGTGACTCAGCTCTATGGACAGATCTGAAGACAGCAGAGACTCATCTTCTTGGAGGGATGCAGTAACACAATAAGAGTTAGAGGGGATGACTTTGTTTACATGATGTCTAACAATTTCAGTTGCTCTACTCGTCTTAAAATCTATTAAAAATATAACAACTTGGGTGCTTCTATTTTATTTTAATGAAAGCACAAATAAAACTGCACCTTGCTCTGATGAATCCGGCAGTTCAAATCTTGGTCTCGACCGTTTGACTGACTGAACTGCAGTTTCTCCTTTTAAATTTACGGTTTCAGATTTCCGTGGCCTCCCACGTCGTCGTTTAGGTGCACTGACCTCAGTCTGCTCCTTGGCTACCTTTTGTGCAATTTGTCTTGGCTTAGAAGAACCACCCCTCCTTTTTCTGCTTTGAGATTTTGAGTTGGAGCACGGTGAATTTACCTCTGGTGTCTACAACAACACAAAAAGGTAACTTAAACAAGGATGCACAATCTTATGGTTCTAAATATTTGGAAATACCCCAGTTAAATTAACTTCTCATCACACCTTTGGATTAGTGGTTTCTTTGTACTCCTGCTGCGCGTCACTTATTTGGGGACTGAGGTGAGGAATGTCGGATAAAACAGTGCAGGAGCCGTGGACCGGTGTGGAAGTCAGACCGATTATTTTGATCTGCCCTCTTTGCCTCTTGGCTCTTTTTGGTGTTTTTTTTAAGGAAGTAGAGAGAGCATCACTTGGACCAACAACTGACCCCTCTACATGTGATGGTGATGAGATATTGCTCGTGATGACATCCTCTTTAGATGCTCGTTTAGGTTTTCTTTTCCTTGCTTTACAACCTAAGAAATAATAAGAACAATTAAGAATGAGCAAGGTTTTAAAAGCTTTTAGGAAGCATGCAATCTCCAAACCACAGCCTGCATGAATGTTTACCTTTCATTGTTTTGTGGCCTGCTGCAGTTCGTCTATAGAAAAAAGTCCCTCGATCTCATTGCTCACAGGCAGAACACCTGACAGATACACCTGTGCAGAAATGTGACATTTAATGGACTTCCTGCAGCTGGAAACCGATAGATTTGTTTTTAAACTAAACAACTTTTTACCTTTTAGTGAGCTCGACAGTTAGAAGCTACAAACAAGCTAACAACCCCTTTAACAAAATATGGTAAACAACCAGCAGATGATCTGTCAGAAAAAGTCACGTGTATGAAAACCCTCAGCTCGTTTTGAGGAAGCAGTGAATGTTTCAGCTTGAGGTCATTTCAACCTATACACGCAGTTAGTTTCAAGTAACATAAACGACACAACGCCAGTAATAATAATAATAATAATAACTATATATCTCCAGAGTGCCAGACCCACCTCAGTTTCAGATCCGAACCTGTTTGTGGATCTTTTAGGCGAACATCAGGTTCGTAGCGCCTGAACCAACTCACTGCCAAACGCTGCAGGTTGAAGACGGAGCAACAACACATCCAAATGACTACAAATAATCAACTGTGATCGTGAAATCCACTCGTTTGTCGACATGTATTTCGACCGGAACAACGTTTGTTGTCACTTGCGGGCCCTGAAGTTTTAAAGGTGTTGTCACGCGCCGCCTAGTGGTCTGGAGTGGTACTGTTGCGAAATAAATAATCTGTTGCAGCAGAAAAAAATCTTTTTCCCGTTTGATCGCGATGTTTTTAACAACCCTTAAATTAGGAGTTTAACTCAGTGCTCAGTCTTATACACGCTATTTGAAGCTTGTGATGTGAAGCCTATCAAGTATTAATGCGATCAACAATGAAACAGGAACTAAGCATGCAAAATTATTTGTGAACATTTGGTAACTCTGGCAACATAAAAGGACTTGTTTCTCTTCAATGAATGTGAAAATAAACAAAACCTAACATTATGCTCAACTGTCAATAACTTTACTAGAAGTGAAAAAGGTCAAATGAGTGAACTGAATTTTGCAACCCATTAATATTAATACTATTATTGTTGTTTTGTTTGTTTTTGGGTTTGCCATTATTCTGAATGGATAAATTTAGCACACATGGCCACCCTGAATTGAATCTATTTACTGTCATAGACTGTATCAGATCCAGTGTTTACATGCTTATTTAAGAGAAGAATTGTTGTTGTTTTTTAGTATCAAAGCATTTAGCTGTTCAACATGTTTATAATTATTTATTGTATTTATTATTATTTTATTAGTTATTGTATTTATTTTTTGCACTGCTCAGGTGTTTCAGTTTTCCCACAATGATATGTTTAAATCAGCAGGGGGCGCTGTGTACATGCTCAAAGTGAGGAGCTGAATTTATCTGCAACATCAAAATCAATCATGCTCCTGCACAGATTTTTTGACATTCTCCCAAATGTGGGATTATAATCCACACAGTTGCATTTTACAACACAACTTTACTTGGCATGTGCCTCATCTTAAAAAGTCAAAAGTGTAGTCAGAGCTGTTTACATATTTAAACAGAACTGGGTTAAACTGACTGCTTTTTAATTTTGTTTTAATTCGCTGGAATGCTTAATTTAAAAATAAGAGCCAGAGTCAAGGCTGGAAAACCAGAAAACTGAGTCTAGCCTTAATGTGCATTTCAGAACTTGTAGAAAATTAAGAGTGTTTTTAATTTGAAAACAATTTTACATATTTTTAAAGAACTCCATCCATTGAGAACACATTGCAAATGTGTCATGTCACTAGGAGTAGTTTTAAAGAAACACATGAGATGGTTGATTTTAACATCTTGTGGTCCAAGCAGCTTTTTCTTCTTCACGCTGCAGCACGCGCACTCCACCTGCCACTCAGCTGGAACCTCTGGATGTGTATTGGCCTCTGGGGGTGTGGCTCCGCCCCCATCCAGATGTGCGTCCTTCAGTTCACCGCTGGCTACAGCAGCGTCAGGAAGTCAACAGGAGGCAGTCGGAACAAGCACGCGGAGCTTCGAGCCGCCGCAGTGAGAGGTGGTGAGCTCGCGCAGGAGCGCACAGGTTTACCTGCGGAGCAAATGAGAGCGCGCGGACAGGGAGCGGTCTGCGCCACCTGACTGCCTCTGAGAAGTGTCGCAGATATTTATATTTTTATTTCTTTTTTCTTTTTCTTATTTAACGCAAACGGCGGGAAAAGGAACCAACGGGGATTACCTGGGGATGGAGCGTGTTTTCATGTGAGTGGCGCGCGCGCGGTGCGCGGACAGCCCGACAAGAACCAGTTATTGGGACGCGGAATAAATCCAGATCGATCCAGCGGTTTGTTTTTGGATGTGAAGCAGCAGCAGAGGCGCTTTCTCCTCCTCCTCCTCCCTCCTCTTCTTACCTCCAACATGACTTCTTCACTGTCAGGAACTAAGGAGAGGAGCAGCCGGAGCAGAAAATATGGGGTAGGTTTCTGTTTTTAATGTGATTCATTACTGCAAGAGTTGATGCTCCTCTGACTGAGCCTGGAGGACAATACCAAACTTCCTGCAGGCTTCACTGCACCAAACGTGTTTTATTTACAAGTTTCCAGAATGACCCAAAAATGCTCAGCTGTGTGTCCCTCCTCATGGCGTCAAAATGGATTTTGATTTCTCTCTGATGCATATCTCTCTCTTCACTCACACCTGGGCCTCTGCCCGCCACCTAAGGCCTAATTAGTCTTAATTTATGACACAGGGTTTGGTCTTTTATCTCCACCTCTTCACTTGGGAATGACTGAGCTGAGCACCATGTTCCTGCACATTGTTGCTTTATCATGTGGCTCCTGTGAGCCATCACCGTGGTGCCAAGCCTCTTCAGCCACCACATCAGTGGCTCTGCACTCTGAAAAGATTCACCCCACCACAAAGGAGCAGATTCTCAACTCTTTGTGGCTCTTTTGATGTAGAACAAACTCGTTTAGTGAACCCTCTATAATGTTTTCACTGGATTTTATGTCACGTTTGAGTTTTTCTATTAACTCTTCTTTTCTGATGTGGGTTAAAGTAATGACTGTTTTTTAGCAGCATCCCAGGGGGATATTCAATCATTCTGCAGCACTTGAACAACAACACAAAAAGGCGATAAGACAAATAAAAGTAAACCAGTCTTGTATGAGCGGACAGTTACTTTTACACAGCATTTGCACAATAAAAAGAAAGTAAGTGGAGAAAACAGATTTCAGTTGTAGTTCATGTTTTCAGAGTCATTATGTTTGTGGGACTCATGAGTTTCAGACATTTTGCAGCGTTTGTTGAAGTCAACAAAAATTAAACGATGAACTGGGAGGATTTTGTAAACAGCCTGGTTCTGCTTTCCAGGCAAAATGCTAATAGCTCCATGCCAGTTCTCTCACCACCCCCCATTTGTGTTTCTCATTCTAGTCCAACCTGTTGTGTGGTTGAATTCAAAATGCACATCTTTTCAAATATTCGCTCCCCAGCAGTGAAAAGGCATGACCCAGTGCTTAAATCTGTCTGTTTTTAGATGCCTGACACTTCACCAACAAAAGCTGCCTCCTATTTCCCGGACACATGGTACCGAAAGGCCTACGAGGAAACCGCCCGCTCCAGCGTACGCCCGGCCCCAGAGGGTGCTGGCTCCATGCCCAGCTCCACCGGCACCCCGTCCCCAGGCTCTGGGATCTCATCACCAGGATCCTTCTCTGGCTCTCCAGGAACCACCTCCCCGGGTATCGGCACAGGATCTCCGGGATCTCTTGGTGGCTCCCCCGGCTTTGGGACAGGATCGCCTGCCTCAGGCAGCGGGAGCTCCCCTGGGAGTGAGAGAGTGATCTGGTGTGAGAACTGCAATGCTCGGCTGACCGAGCTGAAGCGACAAGCCCTCAAACTGCTCATCCCTGGTCCGTACTCCAGCAAGGTAACCATCAGGGGGTTCTTATTCTTTCCTCTGATCTGAAACATATTTTCATCTTACTTTTTTGGGGGAGTGAGATGGGTTAGAGGAAGGGCAGCTGACCGGGGACCAGAAAGTCGTGGCTTTACTCCCAGCCATTCATGTGGTGGTGTCTCTGAGCAACACACCCAATCCCCAATTGCTCCCCAGGTGCTCCATAGCTGCCCACTGCTCCACCTGGGTGTTTGCAGGTGCAATGGGCTAAATGCAGAGAACTAATTTAGTCATTGTATGGGAACATACACTGATGACACCATAGCACTTATATAATTACACGTGTGTTTCCAACATCCTAATTTGTTGTTCTTTGGGTTGTTGTTGATGCTCGGTGGCACAAAGTCAAAAATTTGTTCCTTCATCGACCGTGACGTTTGAACAGTGACACTCATTAACTTGAGCCACAAAAGACTGCGCTTTAAATCGTTTTCTTCTTTCACAGTTGCTGTGTCATCACTTATTGTTGTAATAAATCAAATTTACATTTTTGTCCGGCCCCCACTGAAGTGCTGTGAAGATGAAGTCAAACAGCCTTTGGGAATTAGGATAATTAATATATCTGAAGCAGTTAATCACACGCTGACAGAGAACCATAAAACAAGACAGATTCAGTTTTTACCTTGGAATTTGTTTTTGTTTTTCTGGCTTATAAACTCAAATTATTAAGTTCATTTTATATTGATTTCCCCCCTTTTGACAGAATCACTGTGATGGATTACTGAAACAGAGCGACTGCTCGCAGAAAGTATTCATCTTTATGTCGGCTTCTT